ATGTGTGTGTGTGTGTGTGTGTGTGTGTGGTCGAACGAATTTTGGAGATAATTGAAACAAAAATCGTCGAAGAGGTTTGAAGATTTGTTGGACCGAAGAGAGCTGAGATGACAGTGAATTGAATAATGCGGTAGGGCATTTTTGTTTAGGGGAGGAAAAGTCGTGTGAAGGGGATGTAGCGAGATTTTTGTGTTTGGGTTTAGATTTTAGCGAATTAAACCGTTTTGATAAAATATTTTCAAAGTGTTGGAAGATTTTAGTGATTTTGTTGATCGTGGGATCAGAAAGGTTTTTGGAAAAAGGAATTGGAACTGATAAAATTATTTAAATTGTGTCGAGACTAATTGAAATTTTTTTATAAAAAAAAAAGTTGAATGAATGAAACGAGATTTATAGGCAATTTTAATAAGTGTTATAATTAAGGGTGTTGAAACGATTTTTAAACAAAAATTAAAAAATAACAAAAGAACGAAATTTTAATAAAGCCAAGAAACTGTTTTAAAAAAAATTAATAAAACATTATTTTAACGATATTGAAAAAAAAAAAGATGATATAAATAGTAGAAAATTTTCAAGAGGAGGAAGCAAGATGGAATATTAATAGTAAAAAAGGGATCTTTGGAATTCGTTAAGCTCTCAAAGTTAGAGGAAGAAACAATAGCCTGAAATTTTCCGAATACTTAGGAAAGCTCGTTAAAGTGGAAAAGGAAAGAGAAGCTTAAAGTCTGTAACTATCTAAAAGGAATTCAGAAAGTCTTCAAAGATTGTAACAAGAAAAAAAAAAAAGAAAAAGCAAGATTATTGAAACTTTCTCATTTGTCAAAGTTTGTCCATCGTTCGAGATCGATTATAGAAAGGAATACCGTTCTCCGTTACTTCGTCCATTATCTGAATATTCTTCTTAACTTCAAATTCGAATTCGACGAGTCGCAAAAGATTATTTAATTTTTCTTCAAAGATTCGAAAAGGTATTTCAGGAACGATTAAGAAACAAATTCTAGAAAATTTTATGGAATTTTATCTATGCAAGAGAGACGCACAAATTCAAATTATTGAAAGGGGTTATTCGAGTAAAGTTTTGGAATAGAAAGAGTCATCGTGACAAATTTTTCGTCACTGGTGCCAAAAGGAAATCCTCGTAAATCATCGATTTCTCGTCGATCGCAAACTTAATAATAAGAGAGAGTTGGAAGAAGTTTTAAAAAAAAAAAAAAAAAAAATAAATAACAAAAAAGCAATAACAAAACTCCTCTGTTTTTTAATCTAAGAAAATAGATTCTGAGAATTGGAAGGACTGGTGCTGCTCGATCGCGAATAATTATTCTTATTAAAATTCTCCAATTACCAGGCCAGTGTGGAAATTGTGAAAGAAAGAAGAGGGAAAATTAATTTAAACGAGCGGGCAAAGCGTTTCTCTTTTATTAAGGGATAAAAATCAATCAAAAGCAATAATTGTAGAGAAACTGTCTGAGAGGAGAAGCGTCAAAATGTTCCTTTACACGAAGAACAATTAATTGTTATTGTTAAGATTAATCTAAATATCGAAGGGAGAGATTAGAAAAAAAAAAAAAAAAGAAGTATCAGAATATCAAAAAAAATCCCCCCTAAATTTCTTTCCCTCTTCTTGAATCTTCAAATCGACGAATTTTTCAAATTGGAAGAAGGTTAAAGGAATAGGTGCATCGAATAAAGGGGTGGAGAGTCTCCAGTGGCCGAAACATGAGGGAGGAGCCGATAGGTGGATCGAACGAGCAACGTCAGCAACGTGTCGTCACGATAAGCGGAAGAAAGAATCGCCGAAATTCCTTTCGAGGAGGACGACGAACGAGCGCCATTGTCGACAATTCGAGGCGGAAGTGGATGTCTGCTCGGACGAAGGGGATGAAGAAACACCTCTTACAGGGGACGGTTTAAATGGGATCGAGGTGAAGCCTCGTTTCAATCCGTTTGAAAAGAGGAGGGGGAGGTGGAAATTAGCAGAGGAAGGGGTGGGAATAATTGGACCGGAAGTGTCCTCCGGAAGGAGAGCGTGGGCCGGTAATAGGATTTCAATTTCGATCGATAAAAATTCTCGATAAAAATTTCTATCCCGGTAATAATAATTTCGAGGAATTTTTTTTTTTTTTCTCGAAGCGTGGAATTTATATTCGCGGCAGGAAATGAAGAAACTTTTCTTGGAGAAGGAAAACTTAGTGGAACCCGGTTTATCCTAATATCCGAGTGTATTTATCCTCGGCGCGTTTATTCTCGAAGAGAATAATAATTTCAGGGCTCTTCCTGAAATTCTCGAGAACGAGACAGCACGAATCGTGGATGAGCAAAGCCTCTGTTTAAGAGACATACACACGAACACATACAACAGTGTGAAATATTGTTTAAATTTAAGAACGTTTGTGGACGATGTGAAGAAGAGAATACGAGTAATTTTTTTGGAATGATAAGAAAAATGAAGGTGGTGTGATTAGATCGATCGATCTGAGATAATTCTAGACCGATCCGTTTTAGAGTCTAGTTTCGAATTGAACGAGGAGTGGACGAAACAATAAGGAAAATCAGACGGCGAGAAGGTGGGTGTGAAACGAAAAGGAATCGAGGAAAGGAGGGAAGGGACGAGCTTTTGTCGCCAACGATGGCGTTTGTCGAGGGTGAATGGTGAATCTCGAACGCGCTAATAGGTTTAATTGTTCTTTTTTGGAGGAGGATTGAACGAGCTGGTGGAAAAGAGGAAATAGCACGATTTCGAAGGTAATTTTAGATAAAGGAGGAAAGATTGCAAAGGTTGCTAGACCGTTTAATTGAGAAAATTGACGGGAAAAGGAACTGTGCTGGAGACTATCAGGGGGGAAAAGGGGGAAAAAATCATTCGTCGTTTAAAAACTTCCTCTCAACATTATGATCGAATTCCTTTTATAAAAGATTAAATTAAATTCTCCAAAAAATCAAGAAAAACCTAACCCCTAACGATCTAACCTCAAAAGTAACCTGCATAGCATGTTTCTCGAAACAACCGAGCAAAAACGAACGAATCAAGCATAAATAAATAAGCGGGAAAGCGACCTAACCTCAAAACAAAACGACAGATAAAAGGAAACCTAACCTAACCTCGAAAGAAACCTAAATAAAATTCCTGAGAACAGCCAATAGACCGACCAAACGAATAAAAATACAAATATAATAGGAAAGCGAAACGGATCGATCAGCGATGATCCCAGGATTTCGAAAGGATCGATGATCGAATCGATCGATCGACAGTCGTATCGTGATGGAGGTGCAGGCGATCGGCCGTCGGTTTTCTTCCGGTGAGATCGTTGCACGAGAGTCGTTGTTCGGCGCGTTGTTCAGCCGGAAGTGGTCTGAGATGGTTCGAGATTCGGCGCGACAGCTTGCCAACTAAAATGCGAGAGCTGAACGCGACCGCATGTGCTGCCCTTTACGAGCGCGTCGAGTGGTCCGGACCGTGGATCCTGGTTACCCTGATCGTGCTCGCGATAGTGAACGTGATGGTGGTTCTGGGCAACGTGCTCGTGATACTCGCTGTCTATCATACGAGCAAGCTGCGAAACGTGACGAATATGTTCATCGTTAGCCTCGCGGTGGCGGATCTGATGGTCGGTCTGGCCGTGCTTCCGTTCAGCGCCACGTGGG